TCAAAAGCTGAATTTGAACTCAGGTCTTCCTAACTCTAAGCACTGAGCTTTATCTACTATGCCACCTAGATGGTGGTTTTCTCAATAGTAATATGGAAATTAGGAAGAGGGGAGGTCTAGGAAGGAAAGATAATGAGTTCTGTTTTGGACATGTTGAATTTGAGATGTCCAGTGGTCAGTTAGTGATACAAGACTGGAAGTCAGGAGAGAGGTTAGGGCTGGATAAATAAATCTGGGAACATCCACAAAGAAATCAAAGGTGGACTCAAGGTAGTTGATAAGACCAAAAAGGGAGATAATAGAGGAGGAAGAGAAGAGGGACTAGGATAGAGCCTTGGAGTATATCCACAGTTATTGGATTTGATGTGGACTAAGATCCAGAAAAAGGGACTTCAGAGTAGTCAGATAGATAGATAGGTGGACCAAGAGGAAGCAACATCACAAAAAGCTAGAAAGGAGAGAGTATTCAGAAGAGAGCAACTAACAGCGTCAAAGGTTGCAGACAGGTCAAGAAGGATGAAGACTGAGAAAAGGCTATTAGACGTTCCTTGGAAATGGAAGAGGATCACCAATAGCCCCAGCAGCTATAGCATTAGAGCTGAATCATGGGATAGGGACAAAGGGATCTGTACTTTGCCATCCCTCCATGCTAAATCAAGAGTATATTTATTTAGAGAATTTCCAAATTTGATGCCTACTTACAAATAAGCTAACAGATTGTCATAATCAACTCTGGAGTAGAAGTATAAACAAAATCACAGTTCACAGACTTGCTAATCTCCCTTCTTTGCGGAAGGGAGAGATGTGAGCTGTATATTTTACTGTCCTTGATATTACAAGATAAGCAATAGAAGTTGCAGAGTGTAGATTTCAGTCCGATACAAGGGAAAATTTCCTAACAATTTGAGCTGACACAAGTACTGTCTTATTAAGGAGTGGGTTGTCCATCAGGAGGTCTTCGTACAAAGACTAGATGACCACTTATCAAGGATGTTGTTGAGAAGGTTGCTGCTAATGTACCAGTTGGGCTCATTGACCTCTGAGTACCCTTCCAACTCTGACATCCTAGGATAGTTACAGGATCCTGAACAAAGTTATTTTCTTCCACAAATTTCTCATAACACATTGTCTAGAATTGTCCTTAGAATTTGCATCACATGCCCATCAATTGGGAAATAGTTGAACAAGTTGTGGTATATGAATGTGATGGAATACTATTGTGCTATAAGAAATGATGAACAGGTTGACTTCAGAAAAACCTGGAAAGACTTGGATGGTCTGATGCTGAGTGAAGTGAGCAGAACCAAGAGAACATTGTACACAGTAACGGCCACGTTGTGGAAGGAGTAATATTGATATACTTAACCCTTCCCAGCAATACAAGGATCTAAGACATCTCCAAAGGCCTCCTGATGGAAAATGCTGTCCACATCCAAAGAACGAACTATGGAGTTTGAATGCAGATCGAAGCATACTATTTGCTATTTTTTTCTTCTTCTGTTGAGTTTCTTATCCTCTTTCTGATGGTTCTTCCTGTTGGCTCTATTTCTTACAACATCACTAATGTGAAAATATGTTTAATAGGAATGTATATGTATTAGCCTATATCAGATTGTCTTGGGGAGGGTGGTGGGGAGGAAGGGGGAGAAGAATTTTAAACTCAAAAGCATATGGAAGTGATTGTTGATAAATCAAAAGAAATTTAAAAAAAAAGGAAAGAAAAGAATTTGCATCATACTTTCCTTTTTTGAGAATGTAAGCTCCTTGTGGGCAGAGGGTATCTTATCTAACTTTGTATTCCAGCACTGAAGGTAAGGCCTTGTATAGAGAAGAAATTAAACATTTAGTAAATCAAATTGAACTTGGATTTGCAGCATATGACCAGTAGAGACTGCTACTCACATAGCCGTTGTTTTATGTCGCACACAGAAATGATCGTGGTCAGCACCTTCGTTTTGGAATATGACATGGAATATCTCTAAATTGCTACAGTACAGAAGGGAGATTAGCAAATTTGTGAATTGTGGGCTTGTTTATATGTCTATTCTTAGAGCTTCCTTCTCTTTTTATGTGGCCGTTATGATTGGAATAAATACCAGTAGTTAGCCCGGTTTAATGATCATTCAAATCCCTTTAGATATCCAACCCTGAACCTAGCTTCCTGATGGTCTAAGCTTTACAAGGGCTATGTACAACTGGGAAATAAGTTCTCCCCCTTCTTGTATTTCCTCTGGTTCCCTTGGGTTGTGAACTTCCAAACCCAGTAACAAAACACCACATTACCATATTACCAACACACTTAGGAAGGAAATGTTCATGCCCAAAAGCCACAATGGAAAGTCATGGAAGCCCAGACAAGCTACAAAGAGCCTTTGATTACATCTGATAATTACTCCCTAGTGTTCCCTATCAAGGGACTTGCTGCATTGGCTGTGGAGGAAAAGGTGAAATTTCATTTGCCTTTTGGGCTTGGATGGCTTCCTCTGTTCTATGCGGGAGAATGGGAATCCTGAGGCAGGATCATGGGGTGTTTCCTCTGTGTCTGCTGGGGAGAAGACCTGTCCTCTTGCTTTTTCTAAGACCGTGGGTGCATTTGCCTCCCTTAGTCCTTGGAGTTGGAGTTAGGGAAATGGGGGGCATCAACCCTGCCTCACTCTGAGTGTTCAAATAATAGTCAAATAATAAAAGGGTGCCTGGGAAATTGTTTCCCTTTTCTCCCATCTTCTTTTACTTAGGAACTCAGGGAAAACCCAGCAACATGACATTGTCCCCGCTGTGATGGGCCTGTTGGGAGTAGAAAGTCCTATGTAAAAGGCCATTTGACTTGAAATATTAGTATCCAAAGAAGGCTTCACTCAGGGCTTCAGAGTAGCCATTATTTCCCTACTTCTATTACTCTGCACATATAATGGTGGCACTTCCTGTCTTATTCCAAGAGTCCCAGGGACCTTTGGATTTGTTTTTACTTTTAACTTAGCCTAAACTTTCCCACTAAAATAGCTTTTGCCCTGTTGGGGTACTACTACTACCCATGCCCCCAAACTTCCCAGTTACCCAGGAGAAGGGGCCAAGGACTTAAAAGTTTATCCAAGAGATTGGATAAGGGCCTCAAACCTCCAAAAGGGCCTAAATTGGAACCACTCCCAAGGATTTTAGTTTGGGGAAGGGGAGGTGGGGCTACAATAGGAGAGTGAGCATAGGCCAGTGTGCTTTCCTGTACAATAAGATCTGTAGCTTTCATGAACACATCCCTTGCTCCTGCCTACCTAACAGGCTTTGTGGGGTGGCCAAAAAAATACTAGGAGTCGAGATCTGTGACTGAATGTAAGTTGAACATTTCTCCAAGCATTCCCTTGCCTTACCTGCTTCACAAGAAAAGGTAAACTTTAAAGTTGCTAAAGAGATGTTAGGCGTTAATGGTGGACCCTCTGGGGAATGAGGGGAGTCACTAGCTCTGATGCTGTTGAACTCAGAGGTACCACTATTCTTTGACAGATTCCCAGAAGGGAAATTCCCAAGTGCTATTTCCCAGGACATATGTGACTATATGAATTTATCATTTTTCTTCCCAGAGGAATTCGCAGTTTTGATCTATTTATCCAAATAAACACCCTTCTGTAAATCTGTTTTTGTGGGGGGTGTGGGTGGGAGCTACACATGAAGTCTAGGCCTGCCCCTGGATTGGGAGCATTTAGTGAATCTGGAGGGCTTCCTAGCCTGCCTGTTTGTAGGACAGACCCTCTGGGCATTTCTGTTGTTACATGTTGGTCTTTGGGTTGCATTGTAAGTATACTCCACCCAATGCCTCCTGCCTCAGGTACAGAAGACCCACTTGGGGGAAGAGGAAAGGCCCCTCAAAAGAGCCCGACATTCCCATTTCCATGTCTTGGATTCAGATCCAGCCCCTGCCCATCTCTCCCTGGTCCCATCTACTCCCTTTCTCACCACTAGAGTCCGAAGAGGCAGTGGTCTGTTTGCCCTTCCTTGCTCCTTCCAGGGAGAGGGCGGGAGGAGCACTAGCCTGAACACAGGCTGTCTGATAGTTCAGGGGAGGAACCTGGCACCCACTAAAGGCAAAGGCTTTTTATGTGAAAGCCTGGGAGAGTGAAGGTTGAGCTTGCTTTGGTCACTTTGCCATTAGATTTCCTGAGGTTCATCTCTGCCACCCCCAGCATGGCCACCTGTTCCTAAGACAGATCTGAAGATATGCCTGTTTGGCTCAGGTCTTAATTGCTGTCTTCATGCCATCCCCTCTTCACCTCCCCCTCCTCCAGGAGCTTTCACCTCACATTCCTGAGCTTCAGCATGTCCCCTCTCCATTAGCCCTGCCTCAGATTTCTGGCCCACAGACAACTGTGCTGTGACCTTATCTCCAGGCTGGGCATTCCCCCCTATTCGAGCCACCACCAATCTCATTCCCTTCCACACACCCATATACACGGGCCTTGAGAACCAGATTACTCCTGACCTACAGGTCCCCAGATGGTAACAAGAACATCTGTTAAAGAGGCATACATGCTTCTACATATAGGCATGTCTGGGTACACACTATGTGCATGTGTCAGTCAGTCCCCACTGTGACCTCCAGTCCCTCTAACAAGGAGTCCATTAACTCTTCTGCAGGTAGCGCCTCCGTTCCCTTACTTCCACAGCATGTCATATATCCCCTTAGGAAGCTGCAAGCTACTTTAGGGCAAACATTCATTTTTCATCGTTGTACCCCAATGCAGTGGCAGTGCCCTTACCTATGGTGGGTACATAATGGATGTCTGCTGAATTTGGACCCTGTGGTCAGCCATTTCCCATTTTGATCCTGCCCTTGGTGATACTGTGGAATCCCTTTCCATCCCAGGCTCCCAATGTGACCATTCTACCCTGGGGTCACTGCTACCCACCCACTTCTTTTCTCTGCTCTTGCTCCTAGGTGGTAAGAGAAAGTGATGAAGCAACTAGTCCAACATCCATGTTGTAGCCTCAGAAAACCCACCCTGGTTGCTTGGCAATCCTTTTATTCTTAAAGTCTGTCTCCTTTTTCATACAGGAGAGATGACCTAATGGGAATTTGGGCACTGAAGAAAGCACGCTGCCAGGATGGAGCCACTGATGAGGAAGACCTAGGTCTAGGAAGAATGGAAGCATGGAATAAAGGAGGAGGTTCTGGGCTTACATTCTGTCCTACTTGGTACCTCTGTGACCTTGGGCAAGTCACCTGACATCTCAGGGTTCAATTAGCCTCTTCCAGCACTCTGTGCTATGATTCTAACAGTCTAACAGTCTATGGTGTAGGGGTGGTATGTGGGTTCTGGGCAGCCTCCTTTCCCTTCCCCCAATGCACCAGGACAGGACTGACTCAGTAAGCCCCAGGGACAGGGAACAGAGGGGATGGGATGAGGAGCTGGATGCGCAGCAGGGCTCTTACTGACAGGGGCTGTCTTGGGAAAGGTTCTCTCAGCCACCGTCCCGTCTGCTCACACTCCAGACTAGGGGGTTTCCTCCCCACCTAAGAAAGCAGGAATTGCTCCGCTTCCTGTCCTGAGCTCTCTGTGCCCTTTGGGGGGGGCGCCCTCCTCTCTAGGCCCAGAACAGTGGACACATCACCACTGGGAAGACACGCTAAATCTCAGACCACCGTTGAACTTTCTTGTCAGAGTGCTGATCTCCGAGGAAGGCAGGACCTCAGTTTCCTCAACTCTAAATGAGGTTAGACTAATACTCTCAAGTCTCTCCAGCTCTAAATGTTATGATGCTAAGTGGGCACCAGGCTCGCTAGGGATGCAGCAAACTGGGAGATGACCAGCTCACAGGCCATTGAGCACTGGTTATATCTGTAATCAATTAGGAAACAGATTTAAGGTGTCGAGGAAAGTAAGCAAAACCAAGAGTAAGGAAAACACTCCTGAAAAAGAAATATAAAAACTAAACTTGGGTAGAAGAAGGATAGGGATGGCAAGATCTGGGAAAGAAAAGGTGCAGGAACTCACATGACAGAGTCTGGGACATTCTTTTAAGGAGCTGGTTGTCAGAAGCCCTTGTGCATTCCTGAGCTACCGCCTTCCCAGCTAGTACTGACTAAGTACTACAAAAATTAAGGGAAAAAAACTAAAGCTAAAATGAACTACTCTTACTTAATATGGTATTTAAAAGAGGTCATCAAATTATAGTCCTCCTCCAAATCCAGGACGGTTTCTATGATATTCTGGTCATCAAAAGTTGGCTTTAGGCAACTTGCTTCTGCTTCTGTGGCCTTGTGTGGGCTCTCATCCATGAAGAGGGCCAGGACTTCCTCTTTAAAGGGGGAATCTTCTGAGCGACTGCAAACCCGGTTTAACTCATTTTCAAATTCTAGCTTTCCAGCCAATTCTTCAATAGTTCGGATGCTTGTGTGGTCTTAAAAATAAAAAAATCCGTATTCAAATGTGTACAATAGGCATTCAGAATTTTTTCACTGATAATTAAGAGCTCTGTGTGGTTTTGATGATCTACTGGGATGGTGAAACAAACCTGGCTATCCTTGTCCCAGGCTTCCATCTTTAACTCAACTTCTGTAGCTATCACAGTTAGTGTCAAAGTAAAGTGAGCTCTTTGCTCAGCACAGAAAAGGCACCAATGGGGCTATTTAGAGTCACCGACGTTGCTGAGAGTCAGTGTGACCCACTATCACGGATTTATATCAACCCAACAGTCTACATCTGAGAAAAATGGGCAGCCATTTGTTTGTGAACTAGAAGGACAGAGACTAGACTGGTCCAGGGACCACACTGTGTAGAACCATGACCTGGGTGAAGTCTGTCTCTATCTTGCTCCTGGCTTCTTGCTGTCCCCTTCTCCAGTCGTCTCTCCCAACACTTCACTCAGGTTTGTTTCCCAGGGTAGGACCTCAGACTCCAAAATGGGGCCTCCACAAAACTCCCAACCCCCTGCCTCAGTGCTTTTCTAGGACTGCAGGATTTAGAGTTAGAAGGCTCCTTATCATATCATCTAGTGCAGCAGTTCTCAGAGAACTGTATGGGGCTTACACTGGCAATCCCATGCCCATGTGGGAGCAGACCCCTTGAGAAACATTGATCTAATCCAATTGCCTAATTTTACAATAAGGAAACTGAGATGTAGTGAAGTGAGTTGGTATTGAGTTGAAAGGGGTCTTAGAGACCCATCTAACCCCCTCACTCCTATAGACAAAGAAACTAAATTCTAGAGAGATTATTCATGGTATTTCTTTTTCTTTGCATCTGTACCACAGTGCCTTGTACAAAGTGGGTACTTAATGTTTGCTGAATTCTATTGCCTAGTGTTACACAGGTACTAAGTATGAGGCCCAGGATTCAAACCTGATTCTTTCACTTTCTATCCAGTCCTCTTTCCTCTACGCCATCCCCAGTCTTTTCAATGAGTAGAAAAGGTGGTATGTGAAGGCAGATCCTTTTTCTCCCAAGCACTATACCATATAGACTCCTAAGTGTTCTTTCCATTATACCACACAGTCTTATAAGACAGGCTGAGACAGACTAATTCAAAGCGTGTGTCACCTCTCCTTTTCCAAATAAAGAGCACCTTCATTTTGAAAAAGGACACATGGTTTGTTAATAGGGTACAACAGAAAGAGTGCTAAATTTGGAGTCAGGGGACCTGAATTCAGATCCAAGTGATGCCATTTACTAACTTGGTGACCCTGGGCAAGTCACTCAATGTCTCTGAGCCTTAGGGCTTCAGTTTCCCAACTGGAAAATGGGAGAAAGGATTGGACTAGGTGACTTGAAAGATCTCTTCCATCTCGAACTCTATAATCCTTTGACCCAGAAGCAAGAATCTCTTCAGGCCCTGGATGGAGGAGAGACAGTGGGCCGGGAGGGTAGGAGAGGGAAGAAGAAGCAGCTTCCTGGGGCTACTATTAATCCATCTCTGCCTAAAGCTAGCTGTGTCCTGCTTCAGTCCTCTCACTAATTAGCCAATCTGCTACAAGCAGCATGGAGTAGTAGAAAGAGCATTAAATTTGGAGTCAAAGAACTGAATTTGACCTCCAACTCTGCTACTTAACTACTGGTATAATTTTGAGGCTGACTTCCTCATCTATAAAAGGATTTTGAAGGTCCCTTTTAGCTTTGACTGGTCATCCCCATGTTGAGGACATAAGGTATAATAAGTATTGAAATGAGAAACATTATACTAGAACCAAATGAAGTCATTAGGCTCTATGAGGTTCTGAGAGCAAGTTGGTCTGCTGTACTTTTTGTGAAAGGAGAAACACAGCACAGACCATGAGAAACAATTATTTACAATCTCCTTATCTATCAAACCTTTTTTTTTATTTAAGCAAAAAGTTCTATCTCCTTTAATCTATACTGCAAATGCTACCAGCAACCTTCGAATAGCAAAGCTCTGATCATGTCACTCCCTTCATTAAAAACCATCAGTCAACACATGTATAACGTGTATCGAGTTGCTTGCCTTCTCAATGAGGGCGGGTGGGGAGGGAGGAAGAAAGAAAATTTGGAACCCAAAGTTTTAAAAACAAAAGTTAAAAAAAATTGTTTTCACATGCAACTAGGAAATAAGATATACAGGAAATGGGGTACAGAAATCTATCCTGCCCTACAGGAAAATAGAAGGGGAAGGGGATAAGAGAAGGGGGGTGGGAGAGATAGAAGGGAGGGCAGATTAGGAGAAGGGGTATTCAGAATGAATGCCATCTTGGAGTAGGGGGAAGGACGAGATGGGGAGAAAATGTGGAACTTAAAATCTTGTGGAAGTGAATGTTGAAAACTAAAAATAAATAATGTTATAAATTAAAAAAAAAAACATCAGTCAGCAAACATTTATAAATCAGTGATTCTCCACTGTCTACAATATAAAGGCCAAATTATCAGCCTGGCACTAGAGCCCCTTCATTCTTCTCCCTGTCCCACCTTTCCAGCCTTGGAATCCATCACCTACTACTCCCCTTCACATTTTCCGAATAGGATCCAACACTTTTCCCACCTCTGTATCTTTGTTCATGCTGTCACTTATACCTAGAATGCCTTTCCCTCATCTCTACCTGTTGAAATGCTATCCATCCTTCAAAAGTCAGCCCCAAATGCTGCCTCTAAAAAACCTTCATTGCCTTCCCCAACCAAATAATCTTTTTCCTTCCTATACCTCTCTTAATGTACTAATCACTTCTTCTTCTATATCACCTCCTATACCTTCTAATGATCTTTTCCTCCCTCCTATACCTCCCTTAATGTACTAATCACATTCTTCCTTTTATATTCTGTATACTGGAAATTGGTGGCCACATCATCTGCCCCACCTCAAGAACCCATCAAAGATCTTCTATTTTCCAGGTCACATTTCTGCTATTCCCAGAGGACAAGGCTCCTGATGGCCTGATCAATGGCTTTACTGTGTGTCTTATTATTTTCAGTCTACAACTGTTAACACTCTTCAAATTAAAAACCCTAATATTGACCTTCCTGATTGTCCTACTTTACTCCTGAGTGCCAGACAGACTGCCATCATCTCTGGACATCAAGGAATACTCACCAATCATATCAAGTAGATCCTTTGTGATTTCTTGATTGGAATTGTTGAGAGGAACGTTGGCTTCAACTTTCAAATATCTATCCACATCTTTCCTATGTTCCCCCGGAAGGGGAGGGTAAAAAAAGATATTTTAGGTTCTTTTTCAATAATGTACTGAGAGTAGGGCAGTTAGGTGGCGAAATGGATAGAGCACTGGCCCTGAAGTCAGAAGAACCTGAGTTCAAATCTGGCCTCAGACCAAACACTTGACACTTACTGGCTGTGTGACCCTGGGCAAGTCACTTAACCCCAATTGCCTAAAAAAACAAACAAAAAAAAAATAATGTACTGAGAGGGGAAACCAGAGCTATCAAGTAGGGTGATGAGGCAAACCTTCTGGTGATCTTAAATTGTCATTGATAGTCTGAACAAAATAAAAGAAACCTTGGTAAATAAACAAAAGCCGATGTGTCATAGGCGTTGGGCTAGTACTGATAATTTATTAATCCTAATACCTTTAGCAAATCATTGTCCTGATTCATAACAAGCCTGGCAGTGAGATGGCTCACATGGGCTAGAGACCTGGGCATTGAGAGCAATGCATCAAATCTTTCAAGTCCTGAGGATACCAAGAACCAGGTTTTGTTTTGGCATAGCAGAGAAGACAATGAGGGAACACACGGATGATGGCAATTCAGTTGGGAGTTAGGGTTGAAGGGACTTGCAGGAGCACAGGCGTAGGTGGGGGAGACAGGGCAGAGTAACCGGGGGCCTAGCAGGAGCACAGACAGATTCAGAGGAAACCTTGAGATACGATTTGAGATACATCGAGACCAAGGGGAACAAGGAGCTTGAAGATGACGATGAAAGCTTGAAGTGTCTTTTATGCTATGAAGAACAATATGGATACAGTAAGTTTGGGAGAAAAATAGGCTGTGTATATGTACTTTCTAACCCTTTTGTTTCCGTGGCATGAAAAATCGGAGGTTTCGGATACTTACCACCCCTCTTTGTATTCAGACTTTCAAGGCAGGTCAATTTCTAGGATTCTTGGATAGCAAATTCAATTCAACAAATATTTATTAATCGCCTGCTATGTGTAAGGCCCTGGGCTAGGCTGGGGATACAAAGGCAAAACAATGAAACAGTCTTTGCCCTCCAAGAGCTTACATATACTAAATTAGCAGGGCCAGATTTGGGAAGCTTTATTATATTTTTCTTGAATAATCTATAGGGGTAAGAGTAAATGATCTAGAATACCCTTTCCAACACTAAATCCTATGGTCTTATTATTTCTGCATATTTTCCAGCCTTTGCCTTTAGAGATACCTGAGGTCTTCTATAAGACATTCATTTTGTGTTTTTTGGAAGTAATAGTGTCAGTTACAAAGAATCACTCAAACTTTTAGACTTTTTTTTTTTTTTTTTTAAGAATAGGTCTCCCCATCTCATCCAAGCTAAAAGTGCAGGGGGATACTCATGGTCCAATACCAATACTGATTGGCACAGGAGCATTGGTCTGGTCTGGTTTGTTGTTCCCCCGTCCCACTCCTGGGGGCCCACCAAATTAATGCTAAATTTAGTGTGAACACCTGATCAGCACCTGCAAATTAGAACTCTTAAGCTCAAGAGATCTGCCAGCCTTAGCCTCCTTGATAGCTGGAATTACAGGCATGTGCCACAACACCCATAATGCCTTTCTTCCATAAATAAGAAATATCTTAAAATGTAATAGTTAAAAATCACCTTAAACTTTCTTTTCTCCAACTTTCCCCTTCTCCAGTGGCTCTCAGAAACTGCCTTTCAGGTACAACAATCGAGGAATGTATCAACACATTTTCCTTGCTGGTCAAAGGTTTTCTTTTAGGGCATAAAGTATGTGGCTTCATATTTACTGGGATATGGTTTGGTACAAAGACAGGGTTCTCATTTTCAGGAGCACAGGAAACAGGAGCAAACTGACCAACATAGGAAGTGGTGGAAGGATATTGCCTGCAAAGGAGTTTGTTCATCTGAATAGTGAAGGAAGAAGGTGAAGTGTCCAAGTCTGGTTTTTGCTGACTTGGGCACTCTTGAGAATGGCTGATGCCCTCAAATGCACGGTCAATGGCTGCTGTCAGCTCCTTTCTGCATCTTCTTAGCTTTTCAGACATTTCACCTAAAAATGGTCATGGTTGTTATTCAGTGTGTTAGAAACATGAGAATACATGAAATGGCAGGGGATACATATCAAGAACCATACCAATAACCCTCCTTCCCCCATCTCCTATAATCCATGGGTTTGTTTTGTTTTTTTCTATCCATTTACCTGGGCTTCACTGTGCACTCACTATATGCTGCCCCCACCAGCTTGTGGTTGTTATGGTTTTAATGACACCAAGAAGGTCCAACTACCTTAAAACTTCTTGTACTAAGCCGAGGGCTCTACTACCTGATGCTTAAAATTAATAAACCCAGCTAAGGCCCAACAAAGTTGAATGACTTGCACAAGTCAAATGGGTTCTAAGCAATACAGTCAGGACTGGAACCCAGGCCCTGTTACTCCAAAACCAAAATTTACTCCAAAAATTACTCTTTTCCCCCTTGAAATCTTGAAGACTTTTTTTTTCCTTCTCATACCCTGGGAAGCCCAACGTCTCTACTCATCAGTGGTCAGATAACAAGGTAGAGCATTTGTTTAGGATATGGAATCTGTACTAATGGGCCATGGAGTCGGAAGACTTGTAGAGAAGTGAGGGCTCTCATGGGCCATCTAATCAAACTTCCTTATTTTACAGATGAGGCAATGAAGGATCTAAGAGCCTATGAATTTGCACAATTCATACAGGTAACAAATGGCAGGGCTGGGAGTTGAAACCAGGTCCCCTGACTCCAAACTACCTTCTTTCCGCTATACCACACTATCAAATACTGCTCCAAACATTTACCAGTTGTGTGATCATGAGCAAATCACTGACCCTCTCAGATCCTCGATGTCTCATTTATAAAATGGTTATAATACTTCTTTAAAACATTAAAAGAATGTATTAATCTAATAGCTGTAAATACAATGTGGAGACTGTTTTCCTTTGATATTATTTTATAGGATTGTGAAGAAAGTATATGGCAAATATATGAATGTGAGTTCTTATTCTGACCAGAATCCACAACCAGTCAAAAGAAAGGAATGGAACACTGGAACAAGCAGGGACAGGCATAACGAAATCTCTTGAAAATGAAATCTTTTAAGGGTGAATGAAGTGCTGGACTCGAAATCAGGATAATCTGAGTTCAATTTCTGCCTCAAGACACTGTTACTCTGGGCAAGTCACTTAATCTGTCTGACTCAAGTTTCTTTATTTGTTAAATGGAGATGATAATAGTATTCGGCTCCCAGGGTTGCTGTGAGGGTAAAATGAGTAATATTTGTACAGCGCTTTGCAAACCTTAAAGTGCTATACACTTAAGGAAGTGAATGTTGAAAACTAAAAATAAATAAATTTTAAAAAGTTCTCTCCAGTGCCCATTCAAACCCAGGCACACTGAGTTGCTCCTGAGGAGGCTCTAGGAAAGTTTTCATTAAAATAGAAGACAAAGCCTTCCTTAGACCACAGAAAAGATCCCCTGCCCTACGACAAATGAAATTCATCTGTAACATGCCTCTGAAATCATACTACCTCTACTTCCACTCACCAATAAACAGTGCTGCTTGGCCCTGGGCAATAATACCTTCTAGCATTCCTACTACAGAAATGTATATGTAATACCCCACCAACCTTGCCAAGGTTTAGATGCTGTAATGGATCTAGCTGACATCCATTAAGGAGTGTGTATGAGATTTAGGATTAGAATTTAGGGGCCAAAACCTCCTTTTCATATAAATAGTCTTCTGCCCTACATAGTCTTCTTTCCCTTGAGTCTCCCACTCCCTTTAACTTTTCCTTTTCTGTAATTCTCCATTACTGACTTAGAACCTTGGAGTCACAGAATTTCAGAGGTGGTAGAGATCTCAGATGTCATCTAATTCAACTTCTACCTGAATAACAGTCACCTGTATCATATTGTTAACAAGTGGTCCCACCCCCATCCCCATCTAATCAGTTGGCAAGAAAGAGCTGTCATTTCTACCTCTTGCCTTCTACCTATACCTTTCTCGTACCTTATCCCTTCTTTTCATTCTTACTGCATCTACCCTAAGTTGGGCCTTCATCTCTTCTTGCCTATAGTCTCCGGGTGCTTCCTGCCACCAGTCTTTCCCTTCTCCATTCTAGTGGCTCACTGAATTCCTGATTTTGGTATACAAGGTCTTTCAAAATCTGGCTCTAATCTACTTCTACAGCCTTACATTATATTACATTAATTCTAGAAACTAACCGAACTAACCTACTCTATCCCCTTCTCATCTTGCCTTAGGAAGGCACTTTCTAAATCTTTGCTCGTTTTTTAACCACGTCTGAAATGAATAACACTTCCCCCCCACCATTTCTGTAATATTTTGAAGCCATTTACATAAAGCTTTCCCCGACTGCCTTTTGTCTTCTCTACCTCCATGAAAGAGATCTCTCCTCAAATTTCTCAAAGCCTCAGCAGATCCTTTTCACATATCTTAACTGGTTTCAGTTATTTGTGTAGACTTCTTTCCCATTAGATTGTAAATGCCTTGAGGGCAGGACCTGTGTTTTAACCACTTTCGTATCCTCGCCCACTCACCAGTCAATTAATTAGCATTGACGACTAGGTGCTAGCAGCCAGGCCTTGTGCTGATCGCTGGGGATCCAAAGAAAGGCAAGCAGTCTTGGCTCTCAAGGAGCTCATAGACTAATCGGGGAGGCAACATACAAACACATCATATACACAGTGCCCCACCCAGAGTGAGTGCTTAATGAATGTTTGTGGAATTAAACTGATAACGAATTGAATTCTCTACCCAGATTTAGGGGCAGGGGAGCGGTGCTGCGGAGGGCTTGGGCATCCAGTTCACAGCTGCCTCCGGTCATCTCCGGGCAGACTCGCTGACCTCCCGTGTCACACTCAGCAGGACGAGCTCAAAGCGCAGCAAACTCTCTCTTCGTCCCCCAACCCCCCTCTCTGCCGAGCTTGCTCACGACCGTCAGGACGCCCCCCTCCCCACCCCCGCCGCGGCCTACGGAGGGACCCCTTCTCACAGGCCTCGTTGGAGGGGCCCGAAAACCACCTTCAGTTTCGGGCGGCCGAGGTTTCCGAGGGACACTGCCGGCATCTAGGGTCTCCCCCTCCCCGCTCGGCCCCGCACCCACGGAGTCTCGCCGAGAGCCGGCCTTCCGCCGCCGTTACCGGGCCTCCGCTCCGTACGGAGCTGCGGCCATGGCCTTCTCTGGCCTGTTTGCCGCCCCCCTCCCTGTGCCCGGAGGGCCCCTCAGACAGCGGGGGGTGGGGGGATGACGACCCCTCACTGACAGCTGGGGGTGGGGGGATGAAGATCCACAGGCCCCGCCTCAGGCTCTGACTAGGCCCCCCCCCCAGGAAACAGAGGGGCGGGGCCTTGCGCCCCGTACCCCGGGTTGGGCAGGCTGAGCCTGGCCCTGCCGAAGCCTCCGCCCCACACCGCCCCAGGACAGGGTTTAGGGCCGAGGACTTAGAGCCATCCGGCCTCTGGAGGCGCGATTCTCGCCACAGCCGCCCCCTCCCCCGCACTCACCCACACGGCCCCGCCCAGCCCGCTCGCTCCCCCGGCTGCAACGGCCTCCTCGCGCGCGCTTGCTCCTGTGCGCGTGCGAGGGCCCGCGCGAACTAGGCGCGCCCCCCGGGCACGCCCCGGCCCCACCACAGGACGCCACGCCGGCTTAGTGCAAACCATTCACTTTTATTCTTTGTAGCATAAAAACCCGGTGTTTTAGGCGGGCAGCCTGGTCCTGAGGGGTCTCGAGCTGCCAGAGACCCCGGCCCAGCCGAGGCAGGAAGGGAAGGGCTCCCGCCGCCCCCCTTGGCTACATTGTGTCCCATTAGGATTCAGAGCCCTGAGGAGAAAACTCATTGTTTCACCACCGTGGCATGGTCACACTGCCAATTTCAAAGGAAGAAAATGGGCAAAGGGGCATCTCCCTTATAGCCAAATGCCCCAGGGTCGCTAGAGGCATGTTCTGTTTTTGACCTGGCGGAGGCTGCGGGGCAGGGGGGTGGGAGGGGGGGGTCGGCGGCCCAGGGGGCCCAGGCCCGGGCAGCTCAGCCCGGAACACGGGGGATGGTCTACAAAGCAATACACCAAAAGCAATCGTGAGCTAAACAAACTACAATTTCAGTGCTTTGAAACAGTGAGTGAAGGGTTGGAAACAAGGCCTTGGGCAAAGCGCAGCTGGCCATTCAGATGGGGAAGGCTTCCTCGTCACCTGGGAGCCAATCACAGCTCGCCAGGAATGTTTAGACATTTCAAACCACCTTCCATTCAGCAGGTGGGAAGTGGCAAAGTATCAGGGGTTCGGTAGCTCTTGGATTAAGCACAGAGATAAGACAGCAAGCCCTAGAGATCTAACACAACTAAGCTCAGAGTTGGTCCACATTCCTCCTCCTCTACAACAGCATAAAACCAAATTCATTCCCTCGGCATTGCTTCTTTATATAGTTTGCATCCAGGGGACCAGCTCCTGATCTGGCATATTTGGGGAAAAGAAGGCCAGGGACAGAACTAGTAATATCAGTAGACAAAAGCCAAGATAGGCAGTCCTAGGCACAAGATAGTGGCATTGGGTTAGGGCATTTTTAAAAATGGAGAGGAAGGAGGAGAAACTGAGTTTGTGATCTAGAAGACAGCACACTGAATTAGAGGTTAACTTCAAGAATGTTGACAGGTTTTTGTTAGTAAAAGAAAACACCTTTGGCATATGCATTTAAAAACATGGAAACAGGAGTCTGTGTTCTACAAATTAAAATGATGTCTTTGCCACCACCAAGAGGCAGAAATAAAATGGTGTCCACAGACACTGCTTTCTGGCAGCCTCTGCAAGTAGGGGAAAACCAGTTAAAGCCAATCAAAATCAGAACACTGACACCAAATGGCAAGCCTGAAATTCAGAGATCAGGTAAAGACAACCAGAAAAGAAGGAAAAAGGTGCCCCAAACAAGACAAAGTTAAGAGTAAAAAAAGGTGATCTGCAGTTTGTCAGAGGAGAAACCCTCCCCTCCTCTCCAAAATTGAAGGAGCTGTCAGCAGGGAAGAAGAGAAATAAATTTGTTTCCTATCCCCTCCAGCTATGCAACCAGAATGGAAAGTGGGTTGGCAAGGACTTAACTTTCCTTTTACCACACGGTTCCTTTTCAGTGTCGATGCAAATGACAAAGGAATTCTTAGTTGTAGGCCCTAAGGGTAAGCAGGGATTAAACATTTCCAAAATTAATGTCTCCAAGGAAAGAAGACTAAAAACTAAGTCTTCAGCAGCCTTAAAGATGGGGAGGTTGTTTTTAACTATAGCTAATAAAAAATCCAGCTGAATACAGAATCAAAATGTTTCAATTCATCACTGAATACAGTAGTCACTGGCATCTAAAGATGTCTCACTAGGGGAGAGGACAGGAAGTTCAAATACATTAAAATCTACACTTATTGAGAAAGCAGTTGCATTCAAGTAATTTCATTCTGGAAATATCAAAGGGATCCAAAATCAGAAATTAAAATGAATGTTTTCTTCAAAGGAAAGGAGAGGAATTCTTCAAGTAAATCTATGTCAAGGTACAAGAATGGCAGATCAAAAAAGTGCCTAATTTCACTTGGGGGTGGGGTGGGGAGTTGTTCCTGTGGGACAAGCTACAATGGCAGCTGGCAAAGAGAAATGGGAAAGTGGAAATCTCAGAACTCTAGAATAGAATCTATTCTAATCAATACAGAGGGCTCACTACTGCCAACAATCATCTGAGTGCACCAAGAAGAGCTACTTTGGAGATTTTCCTGGAGAAATTCTCTTCCCCCAGCGGCACGCTTTATCATCTTTTCACACACCCCACCATCCACCCACCCACCCACCCCACTCCCCAATCATATGTGGCTCCTCCAGCCTTCCAGCCCTTACTCTGCTGACCCCAGCTCTGTAGCATCACAAGTGTTTACAGAACTTTCCCACAACTTGTATTTAAAAATAATAATTCAGCCTCTCAACATAACCCTTCATGAGCAAACAGGGTTTTTTTTTTCTCTTCTGTTCCATAAAAAAGGAATTTCCCTTATAGATGGCAGTCTGTACATCTGGCAGCTTTTAGTGTGCAAGAGATGTTCCAGATATGTCCAATGGTACTCTTTAAGATAGTGGATGACTTCAGGCAGTTTCAGTTGGTATCCATGCTATACATGTCATCCTCCTCCAGCCCATCCTGGGAGCGCCTTCCTTTCTTCCCTGCTTCGGAGGGGCCAGGGAAACCTGGGAGTGAGGGTGCCTTATAAAATTCATCATCCCGACGCTGGTAAAACAACACATATGCTGCTTTTGTCTGCAAAATAAGGAGAGACAATCTGATAGTTTAATCAAATAAAGCCTATATTTAGGGACAGTAGGAACTAAAGGGGATTCCTCCGGACATGAAGAGTCTACAACCTTTTTGAATCTATGCTGTCACTGCTCAGGGTGTGAGGTGTCTCAAGTACAGAGACCTTCCAATCAGGTTATTTAATGGCTTTGAGCCACAGACCCATTTTCTTATTATAGCTACTTCTCATTTCCCATCATGACACCCATGTTTGAAAAGTTTTCTGGCTTTAATTCATAAAGGCTGACTGCAGGAATTTGGTAACTTGAACCTACTCAAAAGTACTCACCACTATTTGATCCTCAGAGGCCAGGGATACATTACTATCATCAAAGTAATACCATTTGCCATTCAGTTTGTTTTTTGCATATGCAGTATCTGTCAAGTCAAGGAAAAATACATCAGCAATTACTAAAGAGGGTAACTATGCTACATTAATTACAACAAAGCTTTTTCAAAAAGCCTGAAATTAACTGTTACTGAGACACATAGCAAATTGTAGTCTGTGATATAATATGAAGATAATACTGATTTTCTAATCTGTTTCTCCACAGAGATTAGCTTCAAGTAAACAAGCAATGAAGATCTTGATGACCAAAGCTTTAAGTTGGATTTCTAGAAATTAATCCCACAAACATAGATGGGTAGTATCAGGCCATAAGCCAAAATCTCATTTTTCAGGTTATGTAAAATACTGGTATTTAAAAAAGAAATGCAAACTCAACTAAAATCTGTCTCTTTCCAAAAGCCAATGAGGTTTTTTATTCAAGGCTCTCTCTCTCTCTCTCTCTCTCATATGGCAACCCTATTTAGGGTTTACACACTAGACCCTCACTATACTTTATCCAAAGAAGAAATGCTTTCCAACCAGATCCAAATGGGGCATATTGAATTCTTTGACTTTTAATGATGAAGGATTTCACTTAAGAGACGATGATTTCTATTCTAACAACCAAACCCTAGCCCAAGTTCCTAAATTCCTCAAAAATGAACTATAACAGACTTCTCTTACTTGGTGTCCTCATCTCCAGTGGCATACTATCAGATTAATCTTTTCTAAACTTATTAATCTGAAGCCACCTACAACTTACCCTCTCTCAAACAATATCCTTTCATTATACTTCTCTAAAGCAGTAGGTCTCTACTGCATATGGGGTGGCAAAAAATTTGGCAACAGTAAAAGGTTTCTGATCACACAATAACCAAAAATTAATTAAAAATCAAATGAGTAATGAATCCAAGGTGTTTCTGGCAGTGCTAGCTTGGGTTGCATCAATCAACTTTTTCTTTTTTTTTTGGCTAGGCAATGGGGTTAAGTGACTTGCCCAGGGTCACACAGCTAGTAAGTGTTATACGTCTGAGGCCGGATTTGAACTCAGGTCCTCCTGAATCCAGGGCCAGTGCTGTATTCACTGCACTACCTAGCTGCCCCTGATCAACTTTTTCTGAACACAAAGCATGCACACTGAGCACTGTGCATGCCCTAAAGTCACACAACACCAATGGCAATGCTAGTGAAAAAGGGATCAAAAAGCAAAAAGGTGGTCAAGAAATCCAACTCTCTGATCTAACCAAAATGGTACAAATATCCTCATACTTTTCTGCCTCCATGTCTTTACTAATGCCATTTTCTGGCCTGGGATGACCCCTTTTATCTCTCCATTGAAATCTTGCCAGTTTAATACTGACTTCCTTTGTGAAGCTGTGCCTAAGTACCCTAGATGAAAGCAATCTCTCCCCTTCCTGTATACTAGAAGTATTTACTGCTGGACTTCATCTGGCACTCATCCTAATAGTGTGTGTGAGAGAGAGAGAGAGAGAGAGAGTGTGTGTGTGTGTGTGTGTGTGTCTGTCTGTCTGTCTGTCCTTCCATCTTTGAACAGTTCAGATTAGAATGAGATTCAAATTCAAATGCACGTGCATGCACACCATGTCTCTACAATTTGACTGTAAGATCTGAAAGGCAGAAATTATGTAATACTTCACTGTAACCCACAAAACACCTAATATAATACATGAACATAGAAGTGTTCAATTAAAATTTGCTGATATAATGAAACTGAAAAATTAGAGAAGGACATTTGGTACTTACAGTGGCCCACACCCATGGCTCCATAATGATTGGAAACTGCAATGAGGTCATAGACATAAGGGCCAGCTGCCGGATCACAGACAAACTCAGACATATGCAAGTCTCTGCAGACAAGACATAAGGCATCCCATAAGTATGTGAAATTACAGGTAAAATCTGGCAGATATTAGGTATATATCAATATTTCACCATATACCAAGCTTCAAATATAAAAAGTCACATCATCAACAAATTAGAGGAGCAAGTTAGAAATCAGATTTATAGATAAGGGAAGAGTTCACGTCCAAACAAGGGATAGAGATAGAGGATTACAGAATATAAAATGGACAATTTTGACTACAAAAATTTTTTAATGTTTTACACAAACAAAAACTGCAGTTAAAATTAGAAGAGAAATAGCCGGGGAAAAAAAACTGCAAAAAATTGTATCTGGACAAGATGGCTGTCTAAAGGGAGACGGCTCCCATGTACATCTCTCAGCAAAAATCTGAAATTCATCACACTAAATAACGCTCAAGAAATCTAATAAGAAACTTCTAGTAACTTCTTCTACCAAAGAACTGTACAAAAAGTCGGCAAGAAGCTGACAGGAAATAAGAAAGGGCACCACTAGCGAAGCCAGTGATGACACAACTAAACACCAGCCATCTCCCAGCATGAAGTGAAACAAGTCAGAGACATATGTAACCTACAAAGCTCTATGTGCAAAGGCAGCAAGAGTACCAGATTCTTGGAAGCCTTAGGGACACTAGCAACTAGGATAGTGCGTTAGCGGCTCAGATCAGAGCACCACAGGGCCACGGGCTCCAAGGTCCAGTTCTGAGATGTCATAGAATGTCCTGAAGAACGAGAACTCTGAACCACAAAGATCCAGAGGAGCCTAAACCCAGAAAGAGGAGGTCTGTGCAGGAACCAAGGGGAAGACCAAGCAAAGATGACTATCTCATCCAAAAGTGAGGGAGGGGGTAAAGACTGAGCCAGGTAAAAAAAGAGAGAAAAGAAAGAACAAGTAACTTACAACTGTAAGCAGAGACTCAAAGGAAAAACTGGATTTTCCATAAGGACTATGAAAATAGCTAGAAGAAATAAAGCAAGATATAAAAAATGAAATACAATCTCTGGAGGAAAAGAATTAAAAGGAGAAAGTGGTAAGCCTTACCCAAGTAAAAGACTCCCTGAAAATCAGAAGAGACCAAATGGAAATCAATGACTCCATGAGAAGTAAGAAATATTAGATAAAAATCAAAGACTGGAGAAAAAAAAAGAAAGAAAGTATAAGATATATGCTATCAATAACTAACCTGGAAAACAAGTCAAGGAGACATAATTTAAGAATCAATGGACTCCCTGAAAACCAAACTCCTTAAAGAAATCCCAAAAGAAGTTGTCCCAGGAATGTCATAACCAAAACCCAGAACTACCATATTAAAGAAAAAAATATCATAAGCATCCAAAAAGCACTTCTAAGTACCAAGGAACCACAAGCAGGATCACATAAGACCTGGTAGCTACTAGATTAAAGAAGAGATCTTAGAATACAATGTTCCAAAAAAGCAAATAGTTTAGTTGGGGGTCATGAAGAGCCGAACACAATTAAAAGGAATGAAAAACAAGAATAACTTACAGTGCAAAGCTGACATAAGCCTATGGGGGAAAAAAATGGACCTTTAATGAAACAGAGGACTTTCAAATATTTCTGATGAAAAGACTAGTGCTGAGCAGGAACTCTGAAATGCAAGAAGAAACCAAGAACAGTAAATTTATTTAAGCAAATGAAAGGGGTTGTATGATAATATAGTGCTAATATTCAAATAAGGGGAGAAAAAAACAAGTATCCCTTCATGTCTCCTAAGGGTATTAAGGACATTTTAAAATAAGAAAATCTGAGGACCTGTGGGGAGACTTCTTCTGTTCTGAGGGTTTTAAGAGTAAAAAGAAAAGACAGGGTAAAGAGGATAACTAATGTAGAAAGGAGGAAGAAGGTGGGACTTGCTATTTCTCATAATAGGGGTATATAAAGAGTACATACAAAGACAGGTAGGGGAATGTGGGCATCAGATAAACCTTGCCCTTATATCAAATCGACAAAAGATGGTTGAAAACACAAACACACAGATATAGGTGTAGAAATACACCAAGCTTAACAGGGAAATAAGTAGAGATTTAGTAATGGGGGGGGAAGGGATATTAGGGATAAAGATAATCCAAAAGGAGAGAATATAGCCACAGGTAAAACAAACTTGATCTTAAGGAGGGAATTAAAAGGGGGGAAAAGAAAAGCAAAGAACTAGAATCTAAGGCAGTGCTCACAAAACTGGGTAGACTCTAGTGCTTTGCCTGTGGTATATAATAGAATACTGCACATAAGAAATGAAGAAAAAAAAAATTTCAGAAAATCCTGGGTAGTAGTAACTGATTCAGAGTGAAGTGAGCAGAACTAGGAAAACAATTTAAACAAGGGAAACAACACTATAAAGAAAGACAATTTTGAAATACTTGAGAAGTTTGATTAAAGCAATGACCAAGTAGTTTCCCAAAGAATTGATTATGAAGCACACTAACTATCCCTGTCTCCTGAGGAAGAGGTGAGGGACTCAGGATGCAGAATGAGATGAAATTTTGGACATGGCCACTGTATGAATTTGTCTTCCTTGACTATACTTATTTGTTACCAGGTTTTTTTCTTTCTTGTTTTTTATTGGGGGAGAGGGAGAGACTAGTGGTGTGTGTGACTAATCAATAATGGTGGCAGCTAGGTGGTGCAATGGATAGAGCACTGGCCCTGAAGTCAGGAGGACCTGAGTTCAAATTTGGCCTCAGACCAAACACTTGACACTTGGTAGCTGTGTGACCCTGGGCAAGTCACTTAACCCCAATTGCCTAAAAATTTAAAATAAATTCAAAAAAAAAATCAAAAATGATGAAAAAAAGGGTTAAAGAACAATTTTTAAAATACATAGAAGGGAAATTCAGAAGAAACAACTCTAAAAACAATGTGTGGGATTTTATTATATACTTAAAAAAAATTAAGTCATACGAAATGGAGATTCATATACCATTCTCTATTTTGTGCCCTGTTGTCTATAAGAAAATACTCCTTTTTTTGGTGCTTTCAGTTCAGAATAAAAAAAATTTTTTTTTAAATATCTCAGATCCAGGATGCGGATGGATTCAAATTATTCAGAACAAGTGACATTCCTTAACTGATAAAACAATCAAATGACACGGGCAGTTTTCAAAGGAAGAAATCCAAGCTATCAATGTGGAAAAAAAAAATCCTCCAAATCACTAATAATTGGAGAAATATAAATCAAAGCAACTTGGAAATTCCATCTCACACCCATTAGATTGTCAAAGATATATATTAATAAAAAGATAAATACTGAAAGGGTTTTGGGAAAGCAGGCACATTAACATATACTGTTGAAGCTGTGAATGGGTATAACCATTCTGGAAAGGAATTTGGAACTATGTCCCCTCAAATGAGTAAACTGTCCATACTGATAAATCAGTAAGAACTAGGTTCAAATAAGACCATAGGAAAATTATTTCCTCTTTGTGGTTTTGTTTTCCACATTTGTAAAATGGAAGTAAAGTGCTTATACTACCTCCTCTCACAGAACTGTGATAAGGAGTGCTTTATAAACACTGAAGTTCTAGATAAATGTGATATGTGATTATTATTATAGTGAGTCAAAATAAAAGAAAGGGAACTAGAAACCTGGGCTCAGATCCCAGTGTCTTAGTCAGGCGACACTTTTTATGCCTCAGGTATTCCACTCTGATTGTACCAGCCAAAAAGAAAAAGTAGAAGAAAAAAAAAGATGTCTAACAATTTCCTGGATATACAGGTTCTGTAATGACAGGTGAAAGTATGATTCAATTACAGTCACAGCTAAAGACACCTTTACACAAAAATGAACTGGTTATAACTCTAGGCCATACAGTGGCAATACTTTGGGGCCAAAGTCTCTTGCCCAACAGTAAGGCTGCAGGATTTCCTATCTGACTGTAATGTTGTTTGATATAGATATTAAAGAATCCTACCTTATTGGAAATTCAACCACTGTGTCAAGTTTATCCCTCCAGTATCTGTTGTATGAAAATCGCTTGAGATGAACCACCAATATTTTTGGCAAGGACCACAAGTCAAATTTCTTTGTGGCCTGTTGATGTTTCTTACAGTTAGGACAATACCTGAAGAGGGAATACATATGCTCATTTAACTAACATCACTAGATGGCTGTAGAGCCAAACTGACTTTATCAGGAAAGTATTCAGACGAAATTTCAGTTACTACCATAGTCACAATCTTTTCTTTATAAGACTGAAGGTTGCTGGTCCCCCACACCTCCACATATATACCCTAGAAGGGCCAAAAAGCACTCACTATATCCACTCCACACACAGATAAGTACAGAACAGAGAATTTTAGGAAACAGCTAAAGGAACTATGATCTTTTATATATCAGGAATACTGGCAGATTCCCTTTAGTAGTTCTTCTCAGCTCCAGAACCAAGTTGTCTCTAGTGCATAAAGCATTACTTCAGTGCCACATGAAGAGTAATAATTTTGCTATTCCCAACTCTGGAAAACACAACCAATGAGTACAGAAAACATCACTTGCCAGGAAGTTATTTTCAGACTGGTATTTACAACCCAGTGTAAAAGAAAAAATTACTTGAATAGTTCATTGATGAATATAATGGCTATGGTTTTAAGAAGTGTGGGTATCCCCTCCAGTGACCTTGATACACCTTAGCAAATAGCTTTCATGAACTGCTTCAGCCTAAACATTCATCAACCATCCCACTGCCAATCGAGAGATAAATTGCTCTAAGCTCTGTGAGGCTGGTCTTTACACTACCATGTACATAGCTAGTTCTGTCTTGGCAGGATTTGCAAGAGTTTACCCTCTGCCATCATATCTAAGATTATCAGCATGCCACAATGAAGCATCAGATGTTAGTGGATAGTGCATATGCATGCACACATACATGCGCACACACACATATGCACAAGTAGCCACACACATGCTGCACACTGCTCTCTCTGTAGTCCTTCCCGTACACATTTGCTCAATGAATCACTAACCAGGGATCATGCTCCCCAAGGGTTTCCATGGTAGTGAAGAGCTCTATGCAATCTCGGAGAGCCACTGTCGTTTTTTTCTTCTTCTGAGGCTGGAGCATACTGCTGTGTTTATCACAAGCCTATTAAAAACACAATGGTTAAGTTTGGTGCCACAAGGTTCTCCAGAGTCAAAAAGAAACTCCAATCAGACAAGGCAATATATTTTCCTTTTCAGGTTTAATGGAATGCACTGCAGAAATTTTGACATTGTGTGTTTTTCATCCTCAATTTGAAATCCACATTTAATATGCTGTCCACTGTGAAGATGTATTGAGTTGTAGCACTTTCATTTGAATTGTGATGGCAATCATACTATTATTCAAAGGTGAAAAGCTCTTTTCCAAAACCTAACTGCTCTACCTTGGCTTCTTATTCCAACATCTATGGCACAAAGCCTGAGAAACCTATTCTAAATTGACATTATCAGTGAGGCAAACTAAATTACCTACCTCTGATTCTTGTTCATCATAGTGAAGACACCGGGTTTCGGTGTCCCAATCAACGGCAACTGTGGAACGAGCTGTGGAAGAGAAGGACAAGATTTCCATTCCCTGCTCACTGGCCAGCAAGAGAAGAGGCTGCTTGGGTGGCTGCTTTCCAGGTGATGGGAAAACAGAGAAGGATCAAAGTCAAGATCTAACTTTGGCACCAGCTACTCCCTGAAATTTCTTATAACTAGACCCCTCCCACTCTGGCCTGCCCTTACATCCCTCAAAGCAGGGAGCTTTCTCATCGCTCTGAACATCCCTTTCTAAAGGTTTGTCTAGGTCTTCACATTTTCTGCATGGAAAACCAAAATGTCTGACTAGAATAAGTGGATGGCATTTTATGTATGCATGCCAAGCAGATACTCATAAAATAATCTCAAAGGCCATAATACTCCTGGTCCATTTCTCTTTTTATAAAAAAATCATGATTGTATAGTAATTTGAAGTTTACAAAGTGCTTTTAGCAAAATAACACTGTGAGGTGGGTAATGAAAGTACTGTATCATTCCACAGATGAAGAAAATAAGGCAGATATGTCAACTGATGTTTTCCCTCACCCACAATTCATGTTACTAATGGTTCTATAAATACTCTCTCAAGGGCTTTGCAAATCAGCACTTGTTCCCTATGTACTCGTATCTGGTTATCTATGTCGTCCTAGTTGTTCACTCATTTAGAAATCATGTAAAAAGTGCAGGGACCCAGATTAGCATCTTATTACTAAGTCATATGACCAATCAGAATTCTTTTTCAAACAGGCCATATCTTGTGAATATCCTTGTGGGAGAAAAATTACACTATGAAACTTTTTCCTCAAATGAAACAGGAGCAATTTCCTTAGAAAAGATCCAAATATTGGAAGAAAGATGGTGCTAACACAGAGATCATGACTTGTTCCTTCTCTTACTGGGGAATTATGTGTAGAGGAGAGACAGGTTCTTCTTTGTGGTCCTTAGCAGTTAAGTACAAGGGTCATAGAATTTAGAGCTAAAAGAGACCTTAAAATTGTCTAGTCCAACCTCCTCATTTTACAGATGAGGACACTGACACCAAAAGAGGGGAAATAATACAAAGTCTACAGGTAGTAGTAGACCCTGGATTCAAATCTGAGCTTTGTCTTACAAGTACAGTGTAGCCAAGAGATAGATAAGTTCTGCGGACATTCTTCTAGATGTTCCTTTATTTAGTCAAGTTTACGCTGTATCTTCACTATTTATTGTGAAATACACAGACACAGACACACAGACACACACACAGAGTATTGTTCATCAGTATTCAGAACTACAAATAAACTGACATCCGCTATTAAATCAGTTCTAAAAGTACAGAGAAAATGCTTACAGTTCAGTTTAAGAAGTTTCCCATCTGCTGCAAGAGAATTGATGTCAGTGGTGCCATAGGAATTCACCAGGCTGAAGGTAAAAAGCCTTTTTTTGCAGTTCTGGCCTTTGCCTCTTTTCGGGACATTCTGACAGGTCTCATTTCCCAATTCATGTTCCACACGGTCTTCTGAAGAACAGGTCTCTGTTTCTGTAGTTTGTCTTTTGCTTTCATCTTGGTGTTCCATTTCTTCTTCTCCTGATACAAATGAAAAATGAAGTCTAGCTTCAATACTTTAGATACTTTTAAAAAATTTTTATTTGAAGAATCATGTCTAAAAATCACTAGTAGGGTTATTTTTCATAATATTTACCTGCACATAAAAGGAAATAGTACTTTGCCTTAGGTTTAAATACCATCTGACTTCTCTAAATTCATTTTCATCTGGTCTTCCTACCAGGCCTATGAAGCAGATATGGCAGATTAATCATCTTACAGATGAGGAGGCTAAAGCTCAGAAAGGAAGAAAAACCTGTCCAAGGTCACAAAGCCAGATCCAGAACTCAATCTTGCCTCATAAGATTCAATACCAGGTCAGTGCTCCTTCTACCAAGCAACAATGCCTCCATCTATGTGCATGGCATACAGTGCAAGTAAAATTAATTGGCAGAAAATCAGTGTACATATCCATCATTGAATGAATTTTTGTTTTATGAATCAAAGAACCTAGATTCCAGTTCCACCTTTGCCGGTAACTAGCTTTGTGACCTTCAGTTTCACCTTTGCCGGTAACTAGCTATGTGACCTTGGAAGGTCATTTGACCCACTGGACATCACTGTCTATACCTACACAATGAGAGGAATAGTATTAGATAGTCTCTAAGGTCTTTTTTAGCTCTGATAGTCTGATTCTATTACTTCCAGGCAAGAGCTGATGCACAAAGAAGAAAAACTAATTTGACTTTGAATAGGTCCTAAAATCTAAAGACAAATAAAGGGTGTTAAGACTCAGAAATGGGGTTGTATCTCTTCCTAGCCAAAGTATCCTGGCTAATGAGTCACAGTCCAAGAGGTGCTGTAAGTCTTATGTCTAAGAGACGGAAGGATGAATTTTCTAAGTTTCATAGCATAACAGAAGCAAAGTAGACTCTCCCTCACTTCTAAGGTTCTCTGGTCACATATAAGTCCCTGCATCACTAGCACTCACTGTAGCTAGTCGTCACTGCTGAGATCTTCAGAGATGAAGGATATACATACAAACACAGAGAGACCATCCACTAAACAAGAATAGCAGGGAAATCAAAGATTCTGGTGATATTAACACCAACTACATAAGCGAACACCAACCACATAGGAGTACACCAATAAAGAGATTCACACCTTTTCAAGGATTGCTTGCTTGTGAGCTACTTCCTCCACTGATATAGATCACAAGCCTTCCATGCACTCACTGGTAATAATAATACTAGTATCAATAATAGTAACTGATATTTTATATAGGGTTTTAAAGTTTATAAAGTCTTTTACAGAAAAGATAAAATATTCTGTATTGGAGATCTTCTCTTGGCTTGATTGAGCCTCATGACAATCCCAGGCAGTCCAGTAAGTAACACAAGTACTGTTACCCTCATTTTACAGGTAATGAAACTGAGGCTCTGGGAAGTTAGATGTTTTGTCTACATTCATACAGCTACCAATTGTCTAAGATGGAAGTTTAAACCTAGGTATTCCTGATTTCAACTTCAACACCATCTACTACACCAGGGGTGGGGAACCTGTCACATGTGGCCTTCTAGGTCCTTGAGTGAGGCCTTTTGACTGAGTCCAAGTTTTACAGAACAAATCTTTTTATTAAGGTGATCTCTTCTGTGAAGTTTGATTCAAAGGACTGCAGGTTCCCTACCCCTGTACCACACCATGCTGCTACTTTTTGAGAGCATGATGTGGCCCTCAAAATTCATCAGTTGGTGGCCAACTGACTGGAGTTGCCTAAAGAAAGGCTCACAGTCTCTCTCTGTGTTTTCTAGCTCAAAAATATTTTCCAGAGCTTATGTTCCACATAACCCTATGAGAAGTAAGGGCCACCTCCACAGCACAGGAAGGCACTGGAGAATGACATCTGTGGAGATATCAAAGTATTAGAGTAAACAAAATGAACAACACTAACCCACTTTAAATATAATTTAATTTCTCTGACTTAAAAGGTACTTTTAGATCTGGCAGCACCCCTTTCTAACTACTTTCCATTGTCTAAGAGAGGGAAAAAGAATCGGTTTACTTAAGCTCTGTATAAATAGGAGTTTGTTATCTGCTTTGAAGAAAATTAAGATTAAAAAAAGATACAGAGGCCCCCTATAGTCAAGTAAAAAGCGCTAAAGAAAAGTTCACAGCCTTAGATCAGAATACAAATTCCATCAGTCTGAATCTGTCACCTGCCAGGGACTTCTTCCTACAGAAATGGAAAGGAAAAAGTTCCAAGAACAGAGTCTCTTGCTTCTTAGTTCATGACCTTCTGAGGAAATGTCTGGCTAAACCAAATGCCACTTGAGGTTTCATTGTCGGATTAAAAGATGAATATACAACAGGATTTGTTTCCATCTACATCTCTCAGGCCTCCTTCCTTCCTACTGGTTAGCCTAGGATATTAGTATAGCCAAAGGGCTGCTGACTCTACATCTGTGATGCAAATCAAGTGGCTGGAGAGCATTATGAGAAGAGGGTACAAAAGACACGAGGAAACAAATGAGGAGTTCAGAGATCATGAGAATCATTTTGAAAAGTCAGTAAAAATGAACAACATCAAAGGACTACCTATTGTAAACAAGATCTGAGAGCCAGCACAAGCACCCACAGTTAGAAGCCACTGGCATTAGTAAAGTTCCAGGTCCAACTTCAGCAAGAACCAGGCTCTTAAAAGAAAAGAAGGAAGCATCAAGGGCTCTCTCTAAATGAGGGGCACCTCCCAGATGTGGAACTGAGACAGCAGAGCAGCAAGAAAGTACAGTGAGATCCCTCCAAACACTCCTTCAAACAGATCTAGAAAACGCGCCAGACTGAATGCTGATGGGGACACCCAGAAAAGTCACACTGAGTCCTCTGTGCAGCCTGGTTCAACAAAGGAAAACAGAGGAGGCCTACAGACACCAGGAACAAGGTCAAGCCAGCAGCGAGCAGCCATGCACACTTGCAGCAGCTCAACACTAAACCACTTTAAACATAATTTAATCTTTCTCTGATTTAAAAAGTACTTTTCCATCAGTATGAGTCGGCACAACAGGGAGAGGCTAAACACCAGGGCAAAGGTAGAACCCAGACCTAGACTAACATCCTAAGATAGGGACAGGTGCCACCTAGAAACCTGTCACCCACTACACAGCTCCAGGTCACAGAATGTGGGCAGAGTGAAAAGAAAGCTTGTACAGGGCAGTGGAATTCCTGGGGAGAGAGGCCTTGGGTTGTGCATGGGGAGAGGAGGAAGTTCAGAAGTCGGCAGCAGCCTTGGACTCCAAGCTCAGAGCAGGGTTTCCTTCTGGCATCTTGTCTAGCTTGCAGAGGAATAACCAAAGTGGGAATCCTAGACCAAAGAAGAGTCCACCCTTCTTCCACTATGAACCAACAAAACTTTCCAGCAAGCTAATAGAGGCTGAGATCAGAAGCAGTCTACTCTTGCTCAGACTCAAACCCAGGCCAGGAATTGGCAGAGCTCAGGTCAGGAGGCCAGACTTTGCCCTAGATCAGACCACTTTGGGATCCCTAGACTGTCCCTGAGATGCTGGAATAAATAACACAACACTCAATACTCCAAGAAAGCAGCAACAGGACGAGCCTAAACCTTCCTCCAAAAGTCCCATATAGCCTTAAAAGTCAAGAAGTAGGCTGGAAGAACAGAATGGGAGGGGAGTGTGAGGAGAAAGAGGAAAAAAACAAGTAGTATTATTGCATCAACTATGGGCCAGGCAGTGTGCCAAACACAAAGAACCCCATCATAACGAATTACTATAGTAGCAAGGACACTCAAGACACAAATGCAAAAGAGGAGAATGACTACAAAATATCTACAAGCAATGTCTTAGAGAAAAGAACAGCTTGGGCACAAACTCAACTACAATTCCTGGAAGGAAGCAAGAATTTAAAATGTTTTAATAAACTGAATGAGGGTAACTGAAGGGGAAAAAAAATAGAAAGTAATGAAAGCTACGGAAAGAAAGGAATGGAAAGGACATTAGCAAATTGGCACAAGAGATATAAACACCTGGTCAAACAACAAACTCCCTGAAAACTGAAATGATCAAATAGAAGCTAATGACATCACGAGGCAACAAGAAACCTTAAAGCCAAGTCAAAAGACTGAAAAAGCAGAAAAAAATGTAAGGTAACTCATAGCAAAAAATAACTTAACTAGAAAACAGATCAAGGAGAAAAATATTTAAGAATCACTGGGTCATCTGTATACCATGAACAAAAAAAAAAGAGCCTAGAGGGACACAGCCAAGATGGTGGAGAGAAGCCAGTAAGTTGCCTGGACTGTACTAGTTTCCCTCAGAAACAAATCAAACCTCTAAAAGAATTCAGGAGTGACAAAATCCACAAAAAAGATGGAGTAAAATAATTTTCCAGCCCAAGACAACTTAGAAGGACTTCAGGAAAGGTCTGTCTTACTTGGGTAAAAGGGGTGCACAGCCCAGCACAGGCAGTGTCTAGGCAAGCCAAGGTGAGTCTCTCAGCCACAGCACAGATCAGCAATCAAGCCCCTTGGTCCTCGCTCAGCAGGTCAGTGACACAGCAGGATAGCTGTGAGCCCCAGCACATCAGGCAAACTGCCAGCCCCGGAATCCAGGGCACAACAGGCATCACTAGACTGGGTCACCTTCGTGTTGTGGGCAAGCTTGCCAGCCCCACAGGGGCCGGCATAGAAAGCCAGTGACCAAACCCCTGGCCCCCAATGCAAGAAGTTTGGGACAGTGCTCTCTGTACCACAGGAGCAGAGGTCAACTTTTAAAAATGAGTAAAAAAACAAAAAAGAGCCCTGACAACAGAAAAGTATTTTGGTAACAGGGAAGAACAAAACACAAACTCAGAAGAGGGCAACAATGTCAAAATGTAGACATGCAAAGCCTCAAAGGGCAAGATGAATTGGTCTCAAGCCAAAAAAGCCCTCTTGGAAGAGCTCAAAAAGGATTTTTAATATCAAGTAAGAGAAATAGAAGAAAAATTGGGAAAAGAAATGAGAGTTATGCAAGAGAATTATGAAAAGATAG